ACAAAAATATTATATATATATATATATATATATATATATATATAATCCTGTCATAAATAAAGTGGGATTCTCACCCTTTTCACTCTAAAAATTAAACATTTTTAATATTGTATCCTTTTTCTCTTTTGATTGTGTTTATTGACAAATAAATTCATATTTAAATTGTAACAATGTATATTTTTATTAATAATTGTTGATTTTACTAATTTTGATTGCTATTGTGGCTAGTTATTAATTGTTGTTAGACTCTAAAGATTAAGAAACTCTTATGAGTATAGTTGTTAAGTATTGTTCTGAATAGAGTTTAAGAATTGACTTGTCAAGGAAAAAATATATAAAAAAAAATTTAAAAGATGGACTTCATACTTCATTTTCTTAAGAAAGTTAGAGAGAGAAATTTTGAAGCCTAAAATTATTCTTTCTTTATCTTAGCCTTCCTGAGAGTGTAAAGAACCTTCCCCTGATTGTAGTTGAGTAGTTGAGTGGTGATTTGAAGTCCCTATAGTTAAGAATTGGAGATCTTAAAGGATTGGTGTGGGGTTCTTTGAAGAGTCTCAACCATCTTCCTTCTTCCTCTTTTCTCTTGGATTTAGAGGTGAGGGGAGTTTGCAATTAGTTGCTTTTGTGTTGTTTTGGTTGAATTCTCCTTGAATTCTTCTTGAATTGCTAAATTACGTTGTTGATTTGAGTTGAGATCGGAGTTGGTTATTCTTGAAGCACATTGGGGGTGAATATAATGATTCTATTCCATTGTTGATTGCATATTGTATTTATGATTGGAATTGAGTTATTTATGATGAGTAAATGTACTCTATGTGCGTATCTTTTGATTTTCAGGTGAAGGGAGCCAAATTCATGATTATGCCAAGTGCATAAATCACCATTGCATTGGGTGCGGCTTCATGATGTCGGGTATGATGCAGGCTAGAAGTTCTCTACCTCATTCTCACTAGGTGCAAGGTTAGTGGTGTTAGGAGTGAGTTAAAGGAGAACTCTTTAACTTGGTCACGCCAAGCATGGATTAAATAACGTCGGACATTGATGCCCTTAGAACTCTTTGAGAAATCATGTTATGTTGTAAATTTTTATCCAAATTTGTCATTGATCTAAGATCACATTGTTAAATTGGTTTGGTAGGGTTAAGCTACTTAGACTACTCACTTGTGTTGTAAGAGATCTTTTAGTTGAAATATGTGATAATACATATAGTTGTGTTGTACATATGTTGCATTGTTGATATATTGTATGGATTATATGCTTAGTTGAGATTAAGATAAGTTGCATGGTTGTGGTATCTTGGAATGTTGTTGTGTTGTTAAAATTTAGAAACTTTTATAAGCTGATATGCTTGATATTGGTAGTATAGTAGTTATCTCCTATACTTATTGTGTTGTCTTCCTTGTAAGCTTACATTTGCATGTTTCCTTATGGTTAGACTGCAATAATCAACACATACACACACACACGCACACACGCACGCACGCACACGCACACGCACGCGCACATACACACGCACACACACACACACCCACACCCCCCCCCCACCCCACCACCCCCCCCCCCCCCCCCC